TCAAGACCAGCTCAGACATCCCCTCCTCCAGGAAGCCTCCCTAGATTTCCCGGCCAGCCAGGCATTTTCCTTCCTCAGTCCTCCTGCAGATTCCTTGTATAAGACTTGGTGCTTCCAGGCTCCTCCCCTCAACTCTGATCCCTCTGAGGGCCCCCGAGCCAGCCATGTCCGGGGTGGGGGGTTCATTTCGGTAATGCTAGCCCCTCCCTCAGGGGCTGTGGCAGAGTGGAGCTCACCACCCTCTTGGTGGGGCCACCTTGAATTGCACTTCTCTTCCCACCAGGGCCTTTAGTGTCATATCTGATGGAGTCCTTACTCTACAGCCGTGGAAACGGAGCCTCAAGGAATCTCAGGAGCTTGCTTGGTGACTCAGGCAGCGAGTGGCAGAGCCGCAACCCAAGCCTGTGTCGGGCAGTCTGCAGAACGTCTCAGGGACTGCCACCCCCCCTCCACCATGCTCCAACAGATGGTGAAGTCTGATTTCTCTTTCAGCGGCTGCCATGAAGAGGCCCGGAGCATTGCCAGCGAAAGGCAGATGCGAGCCCTAGAATTGCTGTAACTAGCTTTTCTATGACGCCTCTCCATGGGGTCCTCCATCCTGCCAACCGTGTATCCCTGTTGCAGGGGGGGGAGACTGAGGCCCAGCAGTCCCAAGGCTCCCAGCCACCCCCGTCCTGGCTCTGACGAGGCCAAGCCCTGGCTGGCCCCCAAACCCCTGGTTTCTGAGCCCGGCTGAGCGCACGGAGTTCTGTGCCTTGCCTGGCACCTCCAGGGGGCATCTGAGAAATAGGCTTCCTGCTCAAAGTCCGGCCGTCTTTCGGGAAAGGAGCTGGGAGAGCTGGGAAGGAACACAGAGGAGCCAGGTAGCCGACAGGCACTCTTCCTGCAAGAGGAAAGCTGACCCATGGCTTCTGGGAAGCGGGATGGCTCAGTGATAGCTCGGTGCCCTTTGACCCCCCGTGGAGCACCCAGCTGGTGCTGTTGACAGCACCTTCCTCCTTCCCTGGGAAATGCAGCTGGCCTGCTTGGAGTCTCCATGTCTGACACCCAGGTGTGCCTCTCCGGCCACCTGTCTGGCTGCCACCCAGGGCGCCCAGCTGGGGCTTCTGCCAGCTGAGGGCTGGGGGGCGGTAGTGCCGACCGCCCAGGCTGGGTCATCTGAGCTGAGCCGGGAGCTGACTGGCCAGGCCTGGCCAGGGCGGATGAGTCCTGTTTCCTGTTAGCGTGGCTATGCAAATGCAGGGGGAGCGGATCGGGGCCTCTCCTGGGCCAGGCTTCCCGGAATGATGGCATCGATTGTCCTGAGAAACCTGGCCCCCGGGGGGCGGGGGGGGGAGGCTGTAAATAGCTGAGATCCCTTTTTCTCCTGGGGCAGCCCTGGATGCGGGAGCCTGCATGCGAGGCCAGCTGGGGCAGCCGCACCTGCGTTGGCCTTTGTGAGAGCCCCAAGTTCGTCCCTGAATCCCTAGCTGGTTGGGGGGGGGAGCAGGAAGCAGACAGAGGTGGCCTCCCCGCTCCCCTTCCCTGGCCCAGAGCCCGCCACACCCAATCGCCTCTATTTACACACAAGGAAACTGAGGCTACCAGACCGGGCCCGGGACCTGCCTGGGTGTCACCTGGCCACTCCCTGGCAACAGCGGCACATTTCTGCTTGCCACTTACTATCCCTCTTCCGGTGCCCGTGGCCTTGGCAGCCTCGGGTCCCAGCCCGAGCCTGGCCTCCTGGCCTCCTGCCCGAGGTCCCGCTATGCAAGGAAGGGGTCCTTCTCAAGGTCACATCGGACCATGTCGCTCCGCTGCCCTGGCATCAAGCCTCCCTCGGATCTGGGAGCCCCAGACTGGCCCATCATCAGACCCCTGCTCCCCGCCCCCACCGCCATGTGGCCTCATGTCTTGGCACCCCTGCCTCAGGCTACCCCAAGTAATGCCAGAACTCTTCTTCCATGCTCTCTCCTGGGCCTCCAAGGCTTAGCTCAAGCTGCTGTCTCTTCCTGGGTTGGCATTTTTCTCTGTGCAGCATTGCCACCTCCAGAAAGCCTTCCCGGATGCCCTCAGCAGGACCAGAGCCTCCTCTGGGCCCCTTACCCTCTGCATGTCCCTCCATCATGCCACACAGAGCTGCCGTTGTCCCTTTAGTGTCTCTTTGCTCCCGTGGCCTGGGGCCTCCCTGAGGAACCAGCACAGAGAAGGAGGTAGGATGGGGCAAAGCAGATGGACCTTTCACACATACTTAGGACATTGGGCCTATAGGGTGGATGAAGGATGGAGAGTGACTGATATCCCACTGGGCCTCTCCCACCATGGGGACACTGGGGGTGGGGAGATACAGAAGATGGGGTCATCTTTGAGCCCCCACCCTCTGAACCCCCTTTCCACCCTTAGGAATCTCACACCCTCCCACCATGGGCTCTGGAGCAAGGCAGAGTTGAGAGCCTGACTCCCTCCCCTACCCCCAGGGAGTCTGGGATGCTGGGACACCTGCTTGCTGGCCCGAATGCCCCGGGGGCTCCTGGAAGCAAAGGTAAGGATCATTCCGGGAGGGATGGTCCCGACGCTGAGCCTCCAGCCTGCGTGTCCACCTGAGGTTCGGGGGCTGCTGCTCCCCATCCCACACCCCATCCCTCTGGCAGGCCTCCTGGCAGTGTCCGTCCACCTGTCTGCAACTGCTTCGCTTCTCACCTGGACTGTCCGTGACAACAGCCTGGGGCCTGGTCTCCTGGCCCTGCTCCTCCCCCCACATCACCCCCGACTCTCCCCACGGCAGCCGGGGAGCGCAGCCTTCTCGAACCTGCCCCGCATCATACTGCCCACGGTGGTCCTACCTTGCTAGTGGTCAGGAGCCCGGGTCCAGGCCTGGGGGGGCTTGGTGGAGCCCCCCGCCCGTGGCTGCCCCTGGCCTCCATCAAAAGGGGTCTCTGGGGAGCACTGTGGGCTCGGACAGCCCCCGCTTGCTGCATTCTTCCACATCACCTCCCCAAACCTGGGGGCAACTGAGTTTGCCGCCTCTGAGGGCTGGGAGGAGAGGATGTGCATTTAACAAGTCCTCTCTGCCGCTCTGTGGACAGCGGTTCGTGGGGGCCAGATGGAGACAGGGGGCCCGGTTAGGAGGCTCCTGGGTGTCCCCATGAAAGATGAGGGCAGCTGGGAGGAAGGGGAGAGGCGAACATTTTCCAGAAATAAATAGAGGGCACAGGGAGCACGCTGGGCAGCGGCACGGGCGCTCTCGATGCCCCGCCTGTCTTCCCCAGCCCCGCATCCCCGCACCCCCGCACCCCCGCCTCCCCGGACTGGTCTCCGCAGCACCTGCCCCTCTTTGTCAGAGCGCCGATCACTGCTGGTGCTGGCTTTGCCTGAACCCATGGAACACCCATGGGACTCCAGAAAAGCCGGGAACTCATGCCTCTCCTGAGACGGAGGCTGTGGGGGTGTAAACACTCCACCCCTGCCCTGATCGGAACCCCCACAGGGTGACCCTCACTGGTCCAGCGGGAGGCCCTCCGTGGGGTCCGTGTCCCTGCTGAGCCTCCTTCCAGCCCCACCACCCCACATCCTTCCTGGGAACATGCAGAGCCCCCCTCTTGGGTCTGCTTCGAGGGAACCGACATGAGGATGGTTGCTGGTCAGCCTGGCGGGGCCCGAGAGGAAAGGAGAGGCTGAGTCCAGGCTTTGGCTCCTGCAGCTGTCCCCAGATGGGGCACGCTGGACTGGGATCACTGACTGGGGGCAGGTGCATGGGCAGTTTCCTTGTGGACAAGTTGATATGTTGATATGTCGCCAAGAGCGCACTGAGCTGTCACCCTCCAGAAAAAAAGGTGCCCCTGTCCCAGCAAGGCCCCCTCCCAGCCAGGGTCTGACCAGCCTATTCCTGGCCCGGGCTGGATGCAGCTGAGCCCGGACATCTGCACAGGGTAGAGGGGGCCAGATGGGGGCCTTTCTGGAAAGTGCGTCCCGGGAGACAAGTCTGGTCCCAGAAAGCATGAGTCATGAGGAAAGCAACCCAATTGAGCCACTCCCCCATCCCATCCAAGGCAGGGGGTGCCTCCCAGGCGCTTGCCCCGGAGGGAAGCAGCCTCTTGTCATCCTCAGAGTTGGGATGGGCAGGAAGACCCCTCCTCCCATCTCTGCCTTGATCTCAGGCAGCCGTGGACACCGCGGGACCCAGGGGGCGTGGCCACTGGGCGGATGGGGAGCCAAAGTCATACCATGATACAGAGTCTGGTCGCAGCTTCCTGACACCTTTCTGCTCTACAAGGCCAATGCCCAGATTTCCCACGTGGGAATTCCCCAGGTCTCCCCTACCCTCCACCCCACCCCCCTGTGGAGTGATCACAGTGTGTGGGTGCCTGTCATCCAAACTCTCTTCGCAGCACCAGGCGGGGAGAGAGCCAAGCTCTGGGCAGACTACAGCTCGGACCTTGGGACTTCTCAGCCTCTGCCTGCACCCTTCAACCCTCCCAGCCTCCAAGCGATGCCCCGTGGTCAGCGGGCCCCTGCCTGGCCTCGCCTGGCTGTGAGTCTTGGGGCAAGGCCAGGACACAGCCCTTGGCACACCTTGGGGCCCTGGGTGGGGCTCCTCTGTGACTGTCACCGCCAGCCTTTCCCAGTCTTCATAAACCCCGGTTGTAGGTCCAGCCACACATACTCAACAGGGCCTTCTGGCCGCTTGTGAGAGATTTGTGGAATTCATAACCGAAGCCCCTGCTCTGACGGCTACCTACGTTTTTATTTACTTATTTGACATTCCATTGGTCTTTTTGAAAAGATGGTTCAAATGCCAAAGGGGCAAATGGGTCCCCCCCGCCCCACCGTACCTCAGCCACCCAGCTCCCTCCGTGAGACCAGTTTCTGTTTCCTTTAAGAAGAGTTAGAGGGGTTATTCCAATGTTAGCGCACCATACACACTGCATTATTTATCCACTGCTGCAGAATGAGTTACCCCCAAACCTAGCAGCTTAAAATATCAATAAACCTTGATTGTCTCACAGCCTCTGAGGGTCGGGAATTTGGGAACAACCCAGCAGGGTGGTTCTGGCTCTGAGTCTCGCAGGAGGCTGCAGTCAAGAGGTCCGTCAGGGCCGTGATCATCCGCAGGCTCGACCGGGGCTGGAGAAGCTGCTGCTGGGATGGCACCCCCATGTGGCTGGTGGCAGGAGGCCTCTGTTCCTCACGGCGCTGACGCTTGAGTGTCCTTACAACATGGCAGCGGGCTCCCCCAAGGGTGAATGAACCTAAAGGGGGCAAGGTGGAAGCCACACTACCTTTTATGACCTAGCCTCAGAAGACACACATTCCTGCCATATCCTAGTAATGACGCAACTCCACCCTACTTAATGTGGGAGAGGACCAACCACACCCAGGCATGAGTACTAGGAGGTAAGAATTATCGTGGGTCCCCTGGAGGCCGCCTACCAAACATATCATCCTGCACCTTGCTTTTTTTTTTTTCGAACTGAACAAGTCTCCAGAATAGTTCCATATTAATGCACATAGAGTGACTTTATTTTTCTTAACTGCACAGTATTCCATGTGGGTGACCACGATTCATTTGTCCAGTCCCCCACTGAGTCCTCTGTTGGGGTTGTTCTTAATCTTTTGCTGTTACAGTCAGAGCTAGAGTGACTGCCTATGTACAGGAGTGATTCCCCGCCTACCTGGAGGAGTAATACTCAAGGATGGGATGGCTAAGCCAAAGGATGGGGTGCTTTGCAAACATAGGTATAAAGTCTTTGCTATTTCCTGGATTGAGATATGAGGTCCATATGTCTTCCCCCTTGAACTGGAGTGGACTCTTGGTTTTTTGTTTGTTTAGAGAGAGAGAATCTCAAGCAGGCTCCGTGCCCAGTGCAGAGTCCAATGTGGGGCTCGATCTCATGACCCTGAGATCATGACCTGAGTCGAAATCAAGAGGCAGATGCTTAACTGACTGACCCCCCCAGGTTTCCCTGGAGTGACCTCTTGAGGACTTCAGCTGAGAGATCCCTGCAGAAGTGATGCTATGTGACATCTGAGACTACGTCATGGAAGGCCACCCAGCTCCCACCTTGTCTGCCAGAACTCTGCTCTTGGCGCCTTGAACCACCAGGTGAGGCTGCCGTGATGTGGCGAAACCCAAGACATGAGGAGTCTGTGCATCTGCACATCGGTCAACAGCCCCAGTGACACCCAGCCTTTGAGTCCTGCCAAGAAAGGGGCCAGTCACCTTTGAGCAAAGAAACCTCCAGACATTCTGAGTTACTTCCCTGAGGCCTCACACTTCATGGAGAAGAAATAAGCCATAAAAACCTGGAAGAAAAAGTAGGGGCATGGTTTACCTGTGTCGTGCACTTAACACGCATGTCAGCTCATTTCGTCCCCTCCACGATCGCTCAGGGCAGGTGTTATCATCCCTGTTTTAGAGATCAGGAGACTAATGCTCAGAGAGGCTGGGCAACTTGCCCAGGACCTCACAGTCAGTGACTGAAGGAGCTGAGACGCTAATTTGGGTCTTCCTGACTCCAGACATTCCCCTTCCGCCGGGCACGGAGCTGTCGGCCGAAGGAGGGAGCGGCACACCTTCCAGAATGTGCCGTATGGAATTTCAAGCATACGGAACGTCTAGATCTAAAGCACACGCCGCGTTAGATCAGAAGGTCCCTGCCTGGGGCCGCTGGGAGCTGTCTTTGGCAAAAGCCACTTGGACATTGTGCATTCACTCTCCCTGCCAGTGTAGTTTAGGCAGGGAGGGAAATGTCAGCTCTCTATTCTTGCCAGGAATTCTGTTCACCGAGAATCTTGACTGGCCAGAGGTTCTCACCAGCCATTCATGACCTCCCCGCCCCACCCCCCCAACCAACAAACAAACGAAGGCATTCCTTCCTGCAGCAGGAGGAAAGCTCTCGAAACAGAAAATTCTGTCAAAGTGGTTTGCGGGCCTGCTGGTGGCGGGTGGGATTGCAGCTCAGCTCTACTAGACAATGGGGGCCCCGAGAGAGGGCCCGCACTAGGGCCATCGCGGGAGGAGACTCGCTTGGAAGGACAGCTCCAGTAAGAGGCAGCTCAGCCTCCCGGCTGAGCCCGCAGACTCAGGGGTTTGATGATCTGAGTTCAAATCCCTGCCCTGCCACAGGTCAGTCAGGAAAAGAGAACCCACAACTAGTATTTCAAACAAAGGAAAATGGTCGCATGAATGATGGGGCCACTAGAGATTAGCACCCCTTTTCCTAAAGGGGAAGAGAAGGAGACAGTGCCCGGGAGCCCAGGAGCTGGGGCCCCGCCATGGGAGTAGGAACGGCAGTGGAACTTTTATTTATTTTTTTAAGATTGTATGTATTTACTTATTTTAGAGAGAGAGTACACTCAGGGGGAGGAGCAGAGGGAGAGGGAGAGAGAGAATCTCAAGCAGACTCCACGTGGAGCACAGAGCTGGATGTGGGGCTCGATCTCACGACCCTGAGATCATGACCTGAGCCGAAACCAAGAGTCGGACGCTCAGCTGACTTAGCCGCCCAGGCGCCCCAGCAGTGGAAGTTTTAAAAGAAGGGACTTTCCGGGGCACCTGGGTGGCTCAGTCGTTAAGCGTCTGCCTTCGGCTCAGGTCATGATCCCAGGGTCCTGGGATCGAGCTCCCTGCTCAACGAGGAGCCTGCTTGTCCCTCTCCCGCTCCCCCTGCTTGGGCACTCTCTCTCTGTCAAATAAATAAAATCTTAAAAAAACCCATAAATAAAAGAAGGGACTTTCCCACGGGAGCTGGTGCCGCAGAGGAGTCCCCCTTGCCGCGAGAGGTGCCACCCGGCCCGCACAGAGGGAGGCACGGCCTGCTTCTCCCTCCCCGCCCCCTCCCGGCCCCCGCCTTGCCTCCCATTGACTGGGCCCCACCGGCAGCCCGTGGCCAAGGCAGCCTTGGAAACGTGGCCCCTGTCCGCACCAGGTGAGCAGGGGGGCGGGGGGGTCCGGAAGCAAAGGAGCAAGTACCTGGCACCGCCACCCTCCAAATGCCACCTCGGGCAGGAGACTGCGGGCCCCGCGGCTTTCTGCGCTGGGCCTGGGTTTCCTCCTCCGTAAAACAGCGATCACCTCCTCCCTCACCGACTCCTTGTGAGGGTGCGGAGAAATAACCCGGGGGGCAGAGCTCGGGGCACGGGGGAGGGGGCGCTGCAGGCCGGAGGGGCCTTCCGCCCAACGCTCGGCCCCACCGGCAGTTGCCGGGGCTGCCCGTGGGGACTGTTGCCCCAGCACCCAGGTCAGATCTGAGCACGGGGGAGGGGGGGGGGCAGGCTTGGGGGCAACGGCCCTTTACCTGCCCCCTGCGACCAGCTGAGTGTCCCAGGCAGGGCTCTGCTTTCTAAAACGTGTGCGTGTGCGTGTGTGTGTCCGCATGGCGTGTGGTGTTTGTGTACGAGTGTGTGTGTGTGTGTGCATATGTCTGCGTGTCTCCAGTGTGTGGGGACACGTGCCGGGCGTGAGCGGTGGGCTGCCGGGTGAGGATCTGGCGCTCCATCCTTCTGAAATCAAGCTTGAGGAGCCTTTCGAGACATCCCCAAACGATGGCCCTCCGGGCCCCAGGGTGGGGTGGGGGGTAGGGAGGCCCCGGGGTGGGGTGGGGTGGGAGGGTGCCGGGGGCTGGGGGCTCTTCTCCCTGAGACTAAGCTTCCTCTTGCTGGCTCTGCGATCTCGGCAGCCCACAGAACCTCTTCTGTGCCTCAGTTTCCACCTCGGTATGGTGGGGATAAGAACCAGAAGTCACAGGACCGTGGTGAGGATTTCGGGGCTTAGCGTTGAGAAAGTGCTTGGCCCGGGGCCTGGGCTCTGGGAACCGCTGGAAGGTGTTAGCTGCCACTATCAGCAATTTTAAAGCTGAAACCCAGAGTCGGATGCTGAACCCACCGTGCCATCCTAGGCGCCCCAAAGTTCACCGTTTTAAGGTGAGCAGGTTAGTGGCACTTACTTAGCATATTCAGACTCGTCCAACCAGCCCCTCTGCTAGTTCCAGAACATTTTCATCTCCCCAAATAAAATCCCGTACCCGTTAGCGGTCAGCTCCCATTCTCCGCAGCCCCAGCCCGTGGCAAGCACCCCTCTGCTTTCTGTCTCTATGGCTTTGCCTCTTCTGGACGCTGCAGACGAATGGAATCATACGGCACGTGGTCTCCCGTGTCTGACGTCTTTCCCCTTAGCGTGAGCGTCTCCAGCCTCATCCGTGTTGTAGCCTGAGTATTTTATCCCTACGATTCCCACAACCAAGGCATCAATACTTTTAGAAAATGATTTTTAAGGGGCGCCTGGGTGGCTCGGTCGGACTCTTGGTTTTGGCTCAGGTCAGGATCTCAGGGTCCTGGGATGGAGCCCCGCGTCAGGCTCTACGCTCACGGAGGCGTCTGCCTGAGGATTCTCTCTCTCCCTCTCCCTCTCCCTCTGCCCCTCCCACCTTCTCTCTCTCTCTCTCTCAAATACATAAATAAATCTAAAAAAAAAAAAACAGAATGGAGAATTTTATGTTATGTGTCTTTACTACAACATTTTAAAAGGTAATTGATGGTACGACAATCCTGCATGTGGCCCTATTTTCTTCATTTTGCAGGTGAGGAAGCTGAGGGCCAGAGAGGTGAGCAGCCTGCCTGAGGTCACACAGCCCTCCTAGACCTTGGCTGTGAGCCATTGCCCGCTGCTGCAGGAAGCGTTCCTGGAAAGCAAGCCGGCACTGGGGTCCTCGTAGAGATCAGAGAAGCCACAAGGTCCCCAAGCCAGGGCAGAGGTCCCCACCCTGGATGCTGGTGACACTTCCCCTGGGAGGGCGGGGCCGGGACAGGAAGATCTCAGCCCTGAACAGAGAGTCCTCTGGCTACAAGGTTCTCAGTAGCTGGGGACAGCCTGTCCTGACTAGCTTCCTGTTGCCTCCCCCACCGTCCCAGCTGCCTCCTGGCCTATCTCTGGGGCTCCCAGTGGGCGGGGTGGGGGGTCTTGGGGCCCTCCTGAGCTAAAAGGCCGTCATAGCTTACAAGCACCTCCCCTCCTGGCTCTCCATGGAAACAGGGTTTTGTTCAATTAATCCAAGTGACGCATGGCAATGTGATAGAAACATCAAATACAGGGGCACCTGTGGGGTGCAGTGGATTGAGCGTCTGACTCTTGATTTCTGCTCAGGTCATGGTCTCAGGGTCCTGAGATGGAGTCCCGCACTGGGCTCCACGCTCACTGGGGCATCTGCCTGAAGATTCTCTCTTCCTCTCCCTCTGCCCCTCCCCCGCTCTCTCTCTCGCTCTCTAAAATAAATAAATCTTTTTTAAAAAGCACAAAATACAGAGAAACAGAATGAATGTCCCACACTTAGAAATATGCAGGTAACACTT